GTTACACCTGATCTTGAAATTTGATTGGCCAAAATTCACGGGTGGGGAAAATTTTTGTGGGTGCGCTAGGGGGGTTAATTTGCTACATTTGACTGTTGATTATCACGGGAACCATAAATGCTCAGATTTTATTGGCAGTTTCTGACTAACATTGCATAGACATGCATTCAAATTTACTAAAACAGATGAGTCCTCACTATGCTTCAGACAATAATGAATGTTTATGATCTAATGGTTATGGATAATGAAAAAGAAAATAACAGAAGTGGTAAGGAAATATGAATAGTGAAATTTCTAGTGAAATTTCAAGTGAAATAACTAGTGGGATGAAAAAGAAAATATGTTTAATAAAACACCTACTGAAAATAAAAATTCCGATATTGAAAATGACAAATATGAAAGGCAAATAATAAAAAGTAGACCATGCTATCCAATTTGGAGTTACTTTTCATGGATAATCCGACTGATATTCGGATAATTATTCGGATATCAATAGTAAACAGATATCCGTTATTCGTTATCCGAGTATCCAACCGAACTTTATCCGGATATCCGATAATTATTCGGATAAACGCTATCCGGATTGGAACTCTACCTAAATTTGCATAATTAAACGAATGCTTTCAATGTTTATATATAATTCAGCAACGGAAATAGGAGCTTTTGCATTCATCACATAAAACGTATTCACATTTTCTTGAGCATAGTTACTATTTTTACAAGAGCATACCTTAATGCCACAATTCGTTTTCGACTCCATGTTTAGTTTCTTGATGTGCAGCACTTTGTAAAAATTTTCAATACTATATTTCAATCTTGTATTCTTAAATTAATTATAGTTCTTTGTCATACCAATATGAAGAAATTGATTAATTATTCTATTCACTATTTGAACGCTGAGTTATACTGAATGCCTGATTTTTGGGTATTTAGACACTCGTTATAAAACTTCTACCCATCAACATTAGTCCAAATAAAAAAAAAATCAGTATCAGTTCACACTAGTTGAAACTATATTAATGGGAACCGAATGTTATGAATGTACAATGTATACTGGTAATT